AAATTAACAGTGTTAAGAGATCCTTAACTGTTTTCACAGTGAAAAATTTATCCCTTATGATGGGATATCATATCCTGTTAGTTTGTTCTCTGTACAAAAATATTAGAGACAAGTATATACCACCTTATTGTATTACATACCATTCTAAACTTAAATTTACACAACTGATGTCCAGCCAAGATAAATCTGTATTGTTTAATACTGCTATCTATCTGACCAAAATGTTTACACTGCGAAACTATGAACGGGCGCTCATGTCATTATGAGTGAGTGAGTGAGTATGGTTTTATGCCGCTTTTAGCAATATTCCAGCAATATCACGGCGGGGGACACCAGAAATGGGCTTCACACATTGGACCCATGTGGGGAATCGAACCTGGGTCTTCGGCGTGACATCTCATTATGACTTTCCCGTATTAAGCACATCATTGTACTTTTGGCCTCAACGGCCATCATCTACGAAAATAAAGAGTCTGAGTTAGTCTCTTGGGTCTGAGAGCCACTAGGGCTAGTACAAGTAGACAGAAGCGACAAAACCGTTTCCGCATATTAACAGGAATAAATTAATTCAAATTCACCTTATACCAGTTAAAATCTCATCTTGATTTCTTACAAGACTATCATTTTCACCAAACATTTCAAGAGACACATTCATGACATATGTATTTAAAATTATATTCCAAATTGAAACTCCATTTCTGCACACCATAGGCACCCTTGAAGAGCAACCTCCTCGTGGTGGGTGCTGGGTAACGCCAATGGCTCTTCGCCACGTGTAGACTCGGGGTCGAATAGGTCCACAGCACCCCATTGCTGGTTGTAAGAGGCGAACAAATTGGGCAACCCGTTCGCCGTGGGTTGCGTCCCTGTGTCGGCAGAGAAGGGAGTCTGGTGGTTGAGGATGACGGAACCAGCAATAGTGTTCAATAATCCAACACACCACTTCGACCCTAACTTTGGTAGAATAGGCATGTGCATGGAATGGAATGTTTATCCAAAATTTGGTATTACATAACACTTTTGGCCATGTTCAAAATGTTAACTGTCATTCTGCCAAAACAAATTAGCCTTGCAGACCAATGTACAGAAGGCGGTGGCTCATGGGCCAATCTGGTGATGCTGACCTCCGATTTCTGTACGTCTCCGATTGATTGTCACGGGCCGAACCATCCTGACCTTTAATATGGTAGACAGCTACAGTATTTCATGTCAAATTCGCTGGAGTATAACACCCCCTTATCCCCGGTCTTTGCAGCTTGGAAGTCCTCTGCAATGGGTTGACACTCTATGGTGGGTGGGGAGAGGGGATGCCGAACCACATTCCTTACGACATGGCTTCCCAATACCCCTGTTCAAAACGAAGACATATGGACTCTGACAATTCCTCGTCTGACGAGAGAACGCCCATTCGACCTGATTACTGGCCACGTTTTTTGATCATCGAAGCTTGTGACAAGCAACCTTTGCAATTGAACCCATTTGCAGTCTCCAAGGGTATAGCTGGTATGTGCCGAGAGGTTGCCAATGTCACAAAGCTCCGGTCCGGTTCTCTACTAGTAGAATGTGCTCGGTGACAGCAATCCTTGAATCTTCTGAAATTAATGTATTAATGAGTTTGTCAATGTAAAGGTTGCTGTCTCAGCGCACAAAACACTGAACACGTGTAGAGGCATTGTACGGGACAGAGCTCCACGCCTGTCTGACATGACTGAGGAACAAATTGTCCAGGAACTTTCCCAGCAGTCTGTCACAGCTGTGAAGAGATTCACTATCAAGCAGGACGGTTTGGTACAACCCATAAACTCCTATCTCTTTACGTTCGCCCGATCGAAGATTCCCGAAACTATTAAAGCAGGTTATTGCAGCATTGGTGTGGAGGTGTATGTACCTAATCCACTCCGGTGCTACAACTGCCAAAGTCTTGGACATGGATCCAAGTCCTGTCGTTCTTCTGCTGTTTGATTTGTTACCGCTGTGGTGACAAGCATGAGAGCAATGACTGTACTCTGGAAGTGAAGTGTCCAAACTGCGGTGGTAACCATATGGCTTCCTCCAAATCTTGTCTCGTGTGGCAACGCGAATCAGAGATCATAAAGATCAAGCACAAAGAATATGTCTCCTTTCATGAAGCTAAGAAGAGGGTTGCAAGTTTAACTGTAGCCCCTTCAACCATCACCTACTCTTCTGCTGTCTCCCGTCCTTCACTACTGCAACTATCTCATGTCAGACCCATCTGACATGGGTCATGTCTTCTCAGCCAACTCAACTCAACTCAGCCCATCTAAGCCACTCCATCTCCAAATCACAAACACCAGAACAAATGCCAAAACCAGAAACAGAAACTGTGTGCCAAAAAAGGGGAAAAAAGAAGCTACAGAGACTAAAGCAGCTTGAGCAACTGCCAAACACAAAACCAAAGGCCACCTCTCCTTCAGAGGTCCCCGTCGAGGTCCATAACTCCTTTGGCCCTCTGGATATGGAGGTCACTCCATCTCCACCTGACACCAATAGGAGTTGTTCCTCAAATGCTTTCTCACGTTCACGTGACATGTCACCAGTGGAAGCACCATGAATCCACAAAACATGATTCAATGGAATTGCAGAGGACTTTAGAATAATTATAAAGAATTACAGTTATGGATTCAAGACTTCAAACCATCCGCATTTTGTCTCCAAGAATCCTACCTAAAAAGGACTGATAAATTTGACATCCGTCGGTACAGTTCCTACCACTCCTTTTCTCCTCCTGGTGTAAAAGCTATAGGAGGCACTTCTAGCCTGGTAAGGCAGGGCATCCTCCATAGCTCTGTTCCACTTAACACCACCCTACAAACTGTTGCTGTCCGCATGACTCTGAACATAGGGTTTACACTATGTTCACTCTATCTTCCGCCCTCCTCAACTTGTCCACCTATCAGATATCCAGAACTTGTATGAACTCCCAAAGGCCTGCATAATCATGGGCGACTTGAACGGCCATGACCCTCTATGGGGGAGTACTGATACAAATAATAAGGGAAAGGTCCTTGAAGATTTTCTCTCCAATATTGATCTATGCATCTTCAACGATGGATCAAACACTTATCTCGATCCTGCCACTGGAACATACTCTGCACTTATACCAGGCAACTTCAGGAATGTTCCTGATCCCATGGAACTATTTTCTGATATCTTAAATACTATTGGAGACGAAACCATTCCTAAGTCCACTGCAAACCCGCACATACGCAAACCATGGTTTGATACAAACTGCAAACAAGCTAGGAAAAATAGGAAGAAGGCGGAAAAATACTTCCGACATCATTCTACTGTGCATAACCTGAATGCCGTTAAAATGACAAATGCAGGGCAAGGCATACATTTAAACAAACTAAACGCAGGTCATGGAGGAAATATGTGTCCAAAATCAACTCCTGCACACCCATGTCCAAGGTGTGGAACATGATTCAAAAGATTAAGGGCAAAGGATCCAAATCTGGAGTTCGCCATCTCAAAGATGGTGACTCTCTTTTAACCAATAAATTTGAAATCGCAAATAAACTTGGCGAACATTTGGCAAACCACTCCTCTTCCACAACTTATAACTCCAAGTTCCAGAAACGAAACAAGAAAAGAAATCAGTCAATTTTAACTCTGTTAATGGTGAGTATTACAATGAAACATTTTCTCTCCATGAATTACACACTGCCCTGGGGCAGGCTCATGACACTGCGGCAGAAGCTGATGATGATATTCATTATTTGAGCTTCTGAAGCACCTCCCTGATTCAAGTTTGGAAACACTGCTCAATATATTTGATGACATTTGGACAACCGGCAACTTTCCTCCTTCATGGCACAATGTCATTATCATCCCTATACCAAAGCCTGGCCGGGATAATACTGATCCCTCAAACTACCGTCCTATATCACTAACTAGCTGTGTTTGTAAAACCATTGAGCGCATGGTCAACAATCGATTAATCTGGTACATGGAGACCAATAACACCTTACAGTGACTGTTGGAAGTGGTGGGGTGGGGGTACTTGAATAAATTTTGGTCGGCCATTTTGTTTTATGACTTTCACATAGGTGTGACCTTTGTCTGACCTAATCGACTGTTGAACCCTTAAGCCCCACCCTCCTTTGGGAGTCCCCTTCCGGCCCAGGTGTGTGACCTTCAGGTTGACCTTAGTGGTCTGTGATTATTATTCAATTATTTTATGAGTGGTATGAGTTTGCCGACTCGAGTGTTCACACAGCAAAATCTTTTTTCAACGTGGAAAGTTTTACAGGAGAACACTTGTTGGTTTGTTTTCTTATCCAGTAATATATATGACAAATGCTAAATCATTTTATCACTGTACAACCACTTGACACCCTACTTGAGATATTCAGTGACCATCAGTCCTCAACTGCATACTATTTCCTGTCTTTAATTCCGGTCAGACACGTCTCTCCCTACATAACGGAAGCTGACCACTTGTCAGCATACATTCCATGTGAAAATGATTAATGCGGTTTTCGTTGGAAAGAACCGAAGTACCATTGACCATCTTGTGCGTCTGGAATATTTTATCAAAAATTCCATTGTCAACAAACAGCATACAGTATCTATCTTTTTCGATTTAGAAAAAGCATACGATACAACGTGGAAACATGGTATCTTAAAAGATTTACATGAATTTGGATTGAGGGACAGATTACCTCAGTTCATATCTCAGTTTTTAAACAACAGACAATTTCAAGTACGGGTAGGTTCCACATTGTCTGATTATTTCCACCAAGATCAGGGCGTCCCTCAAGGCAGCATCCTGTCTGTCACCCTTTTTAGCATCAAAATTAACAGCCTCACTAACGTCTTGAACAGTTGTGTTGATGGGTCCCTTTTCGTGGACGATTTCAATATTTCATGTCGTGGTAAGAACATGCACGCAATAGAAAGGCAGCTACAACTCTGTCTTAACAAAATCCAAAAATGGGCCAATGAAAATGGCTTTAAGTTTTCAAAATCCAAAACAAATTGTATTCACTTTTGTCGTAAATACAAACCACACAAGGATCCAGACCTATCTTTAGATGGTACTCCCATCAAGGTAGTAGAAGAGGCCAAATTCCTGGGACTCATATTCGACCGTCACCTGACATTCTTACCACACATAAAATATTTGAAAACCAAGTGCTTGAAGGCTCTGGACTTACTAAAAGTCGTTTCAAATACAGAGTGGGGAGGGGATCAGACTACCCTCCTTCACTTGTACAGATCTTTGGTTCGCTCTAAACTAGACTACGGCTCCATTGTTTATGGTGGAGCCTGCAAAAGCAATTTAGAAAAATTAGATTCTATCCACCACCAAGGCCTGAGGCTCTGCCTGGGAGCTTTTAGGACCTCTCCCGTAGACAGTCTATATGCAGAGGCTAACGAACCTTCCCTTGAACAACGCCGCATTAAACTTTCACTGCAGTATATCACTAAATTACGTTCAAATCAGTCCAATCCAGCATACAATTGTGTTTTCAACCCTCTCTATGAAAACCTGTTTCCTAAACTGCCAAGCCTGGTTCCACCACTTGGAATCAGAATTCAACCACACATATCTGCAGCTAAAATTAATCTCAATATCATAGCACCTTACCGACTCCTGTCTTCGCCACCCTGGCAGATGGTGAAACCACAGGTCGACCTTACCCTCACTAAACTCAAAAGTCCGAAACAAATCCTTTGGTGTTCCAGCAGGAATACAACCAGTTACGTTCCAAGTATGACACCCATAGATCCATTTTCACAGACGGATCCAAGGATGAGGGCCAAGTTGCCAGTGCTACAGTCATTGGATCCAAGACTGTCTCCTCTAGGATTCCCGACAACAGTTCCATTTTCACTGCCGAGGCCAAAGCTATCTTCTCAGCTTTGACCTACATTAAACAGCAGAATCATTCCAAAAACTTCATCGTTTTACAGATTCATTATCTTGCCTTCAAGCACTTCAAAATGTTACTTCAAGTCACCCAATCATTCTGGACATTTTAGAACTTTACAACGACCTTTCTACTGGCCAATGTGACATCGTCCTCTGCTGGTTGCCGGGTCACGTCGGCATAGCAGGTAACACAAAAGCCGATGCTGCAGCTAAAGCAGCTCTTGACAAACCCTTATCTCCACTGCTGATCCCGTACAGTGATTTCAAACCCACTATCAAAAGCTATACTCGGGACCTCATGCAAAAGAGGTGGGACACTCAAGTAGGAAGAAATAAACTGTATGAACTGAAGCCAACAATTGGTTATACCTACTTGGGTTGTCAGTCAAGACGTGATGAGGTAATTTTACGACGATGTCGTATTGGCCACAGTCGGTTTACACATGACTATCTGCTGAAAACGGATGGGGATGGACCCCCCATGTGTGTCTCTTGCGATGAGGTTTTCACCATCAAGCATATTCTGCTTGACTGTGTGGACTTATCGTCTGCAAGGGACTTACACTATGATGCAACAAATCTGAAAGATCTGTTCTCCCGCGTGAGCGCTCATCTGATAGTGAACTACCTGAGGGAAGTTGATCTGTATCATAAATTGTAACTGTGTAATGTGACTAACAAATTGCCTGCCTTTAAATTTAGTGCTATGCCTTTTTCTGTCTTTAAATGACAATGTAATGAATATATGTTTTTGAAATAAAACTCATTTTGACTCCGTACTTACAATGTTTATTAATGCAGACTTGTTCTCGTCACTATATGGCTGGAATAATGCCGATGTGACGTAAATGAATGTGTGGTTCCCATTTGGTTCCACTCAACTGATCTGTATGAGACACTTTCAATCCGAGTTATTCTAAAGAAATATAGACCATGTTCAGAATGACTGAAGTCTGTCCAGCCCTGTTACTCGTGCGCAATCATCCAAGGAGTATCCAGTCCGACAGTATTCAAGAACTGAGGGGAGCCGCCAAAGTGGCCGCAAGGCACGATAAGATGGAGTGAAATGCCCAGCTAATCACAACCGATCAGATAATTCGGGAATAATTTCTATGTATTTCCCCGATAGATTCAATGCGTTTGTGGGAACAAAAGCTTGACCTCTTTAGAAACGAATGGTGGTGTGAAAAATGTGAAATGCGTGATAAGACCAAATTGAACGGTTTACAATCACTGGCGAAGCGCAATACGAATTGGTCAGTGTAAATATTTGCATTGGTAGGCATAGTGGAAGCGATGCGATGTATACAAGGCCTTATCTTGGACATTAATGTCACTGTTTGCATTCAATTAGGAGTTCCTACTGGGCTCAATGATCAGTATAACTAAAGCTGTATGGCCGTTCTGTCCTCAAAAGGAATGGCACAGTACTACAATGATATTGGTGGGTTCTGTTTTGAGAGTCTGGATAGGTGTATCATACTCACACCATCAATATCTCTTAGGGTAACGAAGATTGTACGGGTTATTTTAAAAGCGAATATTGTAAAGATTTTAAGGAAAGCGAGGGTAATTTGGGTTGTTAAGCGAACGTTGTAAAAGTTGTTAGAACAGCGAGGACTACAAATGTTCTGAGGACAGCGAAGTGTGTTAGTGTTTTTAGGAACGCGTAAGAGTTGCTTGGGCAGCGATGATTATAGGGTTGTTATCAAATGATTGTCGTTCTTTTCCACCCTGCATAAATTATTAGGAGTGTCGAAGTGGTAAGGAATGTGAAGGGTTTTTTTATAATGGCAAATACTGTAGCGATTGTTCTGATGGGAAAGATACTTTACTGGGTCAAGTTTCAGAAATGTATAATGATTGGAACATTCACATTACTATTAAAAACATAATAATATCGGAATATGGAGCGACAACGTGTCAAATAACTATGCCTTAGTGTTTGTCTGTGAATATGTATGATTTTGACAGAGACAAATAGTTGTTTTTAATCAAAGAGGAGTGAGATGGGAGATTCAGAACCTGGCCCCGATTTCTCGAAACAAACTTAAGTTGTTACTCAAATTTCAAACTGAGTTTGACAATTTGAAACAGCTGAATTTTTAACTCAACTGCATTTTCTAAATAAAAAAAGCCCAAACAACTTAAGTAATCTATCCACCAAACTCAAATTGTCTACTAAGTTTAAGTTTAATATTGATTTCAGTTTATTCTGGGAAATGCATTTTCCTGCGTTTTCTCAAATTTGAGTAAAAACTCCGACTTAAGTCAAAACTCAGACTTAAGTTTATTTCGAGAAATCGGGGCCTCATTCCATAAAGTGCAGAAGTGCATTAGAGAAGGTAGCATGTGGTTCAGGGACTGTGAGACAGACTGACTGGGTATCTGAACACATATTAAATGATTATTAAATTATTCTACCTTGACCTTATCAGTGCAACAGAACTGACAATTTCACTATGACCAAGACGCCATTCTTCAAATAAGGCAAATATTATTTCATGTTCACGATTGGCGACCTTAACGTCACTTCGTGGTAATTAATATCCAGTGACACAAAACTATGCAACGCCCTGAAGTCAAAATCGGCTTAATGCCGAAGGCATTTTGATAAGGCCAACGAAAGAAGCATTTCATGATCATTATTGTTGGAGTTAAATGTTATATGACATTTAAATGAACCACAATCCAGTGTACATCTAAATGCACATATATATGTACGTGTATGTATTGTTGTTATAAAATGGATGGAAATGTAGCCAAAAAGTGGAAATAAAAACAAAAAAACCCAAAGTCACTTTCTACTTACAAAAAAAATATATTGTTGGAGTGAGTTAGTGAATATACATTTACGCCGCTTTTAGCAATATTCCAGCAACATCACGTGGGGGACACAAGAAATGGGCTTCGCACATTGTACCCATGTGGGGAATCGAACCCGGGCCTTCGGCGTGACGAGCGAACGCTTTAACCACTAGGCTACCCAACCGCTGCCATTATTGTTGGAAAAGCTAATCAGTAATCATTATTGCTTATAAGAAGTTATTGTGAAAGTGAGATGGATGCGTTAAAATGTCTGCACGCAGTAGCATACCAAATTAAACCAAATAACTATGCCTGGGTGTTAGACTAGCGCTCAATCGCCAAACATAAATACTTTTGATAGAACAAAATAGTTCATTGTAAATTGAAAGAACCCACAGTGAGATCGAAGATTCAGACTCTGATTCCATAACGTGATGGGTTTTAGTATTGCAGAAAGTGCATTGCAGAATGGTACATGTGGTTCAGGATGTGGTAATCTGAAGACACATTAATAAATGATATTTAAATGAATCAATCTTGACCTTATCAGTTCAAAGGAAAATCAATTCTACTTTAGTTTTTCCTTTCCAGAAATGTCAATGTTACTGAGACTATAACGCCATTCTTCAAATAAGGTTATAAAAATGGTGATATTATTCAGTAAGGAAACGGATTACTTCTTGGAATATTTACGATTAGCGACCGTAATGTAACTTTATGGTAATAAATCTCTAATGACATAAAACTGTGAAACTCCCTAAAGGCATAATCAGCTTAACATCGGAGGCATTTTGAGTGATAAGCCCCACAAAAAATGCGTCTCATGATATTTAAAAGCTAATCATAAATCAATATTCCTTAAAGGAAGCTATTGCCAAAATGTCTGCGTGGAGTGACATACTGTAGACTGGATACAATTACTATTCAACTCTTGAGAGATATTTGAAAAACAACAACATCGGCTCACTCTATGTCCATGGTTGAAAGAAAACCATGTATATAAAGAGTCTGCTGCGTACCTTTTGACGTCCAGTGATGATTACTTGTTATACATTGGAATTGTGGTATTTCTGTCATGACAATTGACAATGTCGAAATACTCTGGATTATGGAAGCTGCGTTTCCGTTTCTCTAACGTAGTAGTGGGCAAAACAACTCGCTGAAAAACGAAATTACTGGAGAAGCTGGATATTCAGATAATGAGGTGAGGTGAAATTGGGTTTAACGTCGTGCTTGAGAATATGTCGCTTAAATGACGACGTGCATGCGTGTGTATGTATGACTGCTGGTTTTATAGTGCTTGAGATACCATGCCGCAGTAGCCTCAGACTTATAGCTGGTTTTATAGTGCTAGCCCAGGCTGAGATACCATGCAATATCTCAGTGAAGCATGAATACCCCGACTATGGACACGTTATACTGACTCTGAGCTAACCAGTCCTTGTTGTACCCATTAATGCCGAGCGCCATACTAGGCAGGGACCAAAAAGTACCATATTTACCATATTTTAACGTCTTTTGGAATGACGCGGCCGGGGATCTAACCCGCGACCTTCCGCTCTCCGGGCGGACGCTCTAACCACTACACCACGGAGGTGGTCATTCAGGAATGAATGTGTTGTGGGTCGACATAGATGTTTAGCTCCTCCTTTCAGAAAGAAACACTGTACGTTATTTCCAGTATTTCTGGGGAATCCTTGGTATTGACGGACCATTCTTTATAGTCAAACCAAAGCCATCTTACAACATGTGTCCTATCACTTCATTATGCATTTGTAATTATTGTTTATTTATAATATAATGCTACTGACTTTAAATACAAGAAGACAACTCTCTATCGGGTGCTATTTACACAAAGCAAGGAAATTGTCCCTTGCAGCGTATTCTCACCATCCACTTTCTATGTCTATTGGTTTGTTTTCTAATAATGTATCTTTAATTCCATTCAAATTAGAATAAACCTATTCAAAGGTCATGAACTTTTCCCAATGAAAATCTATCCAAAACAAAGTGAGATCAAAGATCATTTCTGAATATCGGTACCTGCTATCTACAGCAGATACCACAAGAAACATTTCCCTTCTACTCTTAAAACGTATTGATGGATATTTCTGATCATGGCAGACCCTTGACGCTTGGTATGGTTTCCTACACACTAAAGAGATATGTTCTGGAGGAGACAGAAGTATATATTTGTGAACAGACGCAAGTTAATGACTGAAAGCGCTTCAAATCTAAACCTTTCATGTCCTTGAAATCCAGTATTGCCAGCGGTATAATGCCACTTTTGAAGAAAATACAGAAACGATGTTTTGTTACTTTCGGACTTTCTTGTCTGGAATGGTTAGGTTGAGTGACTCTGCCTTTCCTGAGTGGAAGGAACCCTAACGGATCCCTGAGCTTGGAAGCCCCTTGCCAATCACAGATCAGTCAGGAAGACATATCCATTTAGCTTGTTGGGTGATGCTTTCGCCTTTAGTGATACCCGCGAGTAGGGTTATGGTACTGACTCGACTTCGAATCTTTATCAGGGCTAGACAGGATTCGAACCCAACACACCCAAGAGACACAACTCTGCACAAGAAATTGCAGCATCCTGGAGAAAGTGTCCATCCCTGTCCCGTCTCAGCCTGTAATTCGTATCTATATAAAACACATAGTTATTTCATGTTTGATGAGGGTATATGCATATATTGAGATGTGTTTGTTGTTTAACGCCGTATATTGCAATATTAAGACCTTCTGTCCAGCAGCAACTCATGCCGTTTGGTCGTCTTACTTCTTAGGTTCCTGAGGAAAGAATCTAACCCAGAGTCAACGTTGGGCCTTTCAGTCGGTGTAATCACATGCACAGGTTTGGTATATAATATAGGTATGTAGGTGTGAGCCCGTTGTTTGTAGATTATAAATAATGTGTTTTGGGGCTGTATTACGCCCAGAAGTAACCTATCCGATATCATTATCCAAATTGAAAAGTTCAAAGTAATACAGATCTTAGAATTTTACAAGTACTTCTGGGCACTTCATGAGCACTGTTAGGTGCTGAGTGACTTTAAATCTTAACTCATTCAATCACTGTTAGGTGCTGAAACAATGGGAAAAATACTCAAATAAACATGATGACTGATTTCTGACTCGCCTGAAGGACGCGCTCTGCGGAGAAATTGCGGAGAGTAGGACGACTGAGCCATCGGTGCCGTCTTTGTCATTCTCAAATATGTTTCACGCCTGTTTGATGTAATCACGTTTGTATCTCTCATGAACTTTACTAAAGTGTTAATCTCTACACCTTCAACTATTTTGGACTGTTGTCATCCCCATTGCCTGCGCGTTGTAATCATATTTGTCACTCTCGAGGACTTTACTGAAGTGTTAACGTCGATATCTAAGTCACTTTAGACTGTTGACATTAATAGCTTTTGTGTTTTCATCACTTTATATTTAAATACGCTCTTAATCATTATCATCAACGGGCGGTGATTGGTATGCTAATAACTTCATTACGTAACTATGACAAGCAATGCGGAAACATTTTTCATAGAAAATACATATGAAAAGAAGCTAAAAACATTACAATAGCTAATCCTTTTTCCGGTTGGCAAACTAAACATCATGATATTACAAATTCCAGGTGCTCTTCAACTTATGACATAGTTTTATAATGCAATAAGGAAAGAATATAGTATATAAATCAAAACTGAGTGCAGTTGAACCCAAAAGACTTATCGAACACTCCCATGACAGATTTATGTATTTAGATCAATACTAATTGAAAAGTTGTCTGGATATACAGCCTGATACGCTATAATGAAATATGTTCATATTAAACCCTATAATATATATACAGAATAATAAATCATACGTGACTTTTCCAAGTTGTCTGTAATTGAATCCCGCACCATCTCGGGACCACGGGAAGTGCCACGACGTAATTCCTATTAGTCTGATGATGCCATTGCATGTCTGCTACCAAGGATACCTTGTCCAGTTGCCTGACTCAGCAAGGATATGTCAGTGACGAATTGCATGTGTTTGTTAATAGCTGACGTGGGAACAATAACTGGAAAACAAGCTATTTTTTGTGAACAGCTGAAAATGTAGTTCTTCAAAGCTGAAGATATGACTCACTTCAATATATAAATATAGCATATTTATCACGTATTCTCAGGAACATGAATAGTAATCAGGGTAGCATAGCTCAAGATTATTATGCTTTCCCAATGGTTTTGTGATCGTTACACTTTCTTTTTGTCGCTTCTCCAATATCTTTCAAATCGTCTTCCCTTTCGCAGTTTATTCTCATTCCCATTTCAGTTCCAAATTAAGGGACTTACGGGTTCCTTAATTCTCGATGGTTTCTTGATAGAATTGCCCGATAAACATCTTCATACAGTTTTATTTTTATTAATTAAACATCATTGTGTTATCATGCTCATTTTATACATCTTTCTGAGGTTTGCATCTTCTGAACATGCCAGAAACCTATGATCGTGAGTTCGAATCCCGGTTCTTCCCGACCGTGTTTCTGTTTTTTTCTACTTTGCAGTGGTGTTTTCAGTTATTGAACACATGTTCAGTTTGTTAATAAAATGAATGGTGGGTTATCAAACATGATTCTTACTTCTAGCATGTATAGTTGTGTGTACATGGCACTTTATTATGGATAACAACTTCTTTATGTAATTGGAATATTCGTAATAATTCTCACTCACTCAAAAACACAACAGCTTTTCTCAGGTATCGTGAAGTGCACTTCAAGCTCATTTCACGCATGATTTATCATACTTTCTTACATACACGCCGGATCATACACATAATATACATATGTATATCATAACACTGGTATTTGTTTGTTTTTTCAGACTGATAAATCACCCTAATAAGTGCCCAATAGTCCTTTGGTGTGAATACCTTCTCACACAACAGATTCAAGTTGTAACCCCGTCATAATTCATTAAGGACACATGCGTCGTTCATTCAAAATTACCACTTCATGTTAGATATGTGCAATATGAATCTACAGTTGATTACACGTAGAAGGGTTGATGTCAAAAACTGGTGTTCAGTGATCAGATACATCAACGAGATTCCAGGTACAAGTTCGCTGTACATGAATAGCACACTCTTCTGTCTATTCCGTTCCGTGTTTGTTATGATGTGCTATAGTACAGAATGTTGTGATTAAACATAAACAACTACCTCTCCACATGCTCAGATAAAACACTTGCACTTGAACAATGGATTTGATCAAGAACTTATATACGCATTAATACTAAAACCTCGGCTGCCTAAAAACAGCGACAAAGAAACAACATAAGACATTTGTGCTGACCGCAGAATGCACTGTACGATTCCGACTGTTTGTTTATGAATCTCTATAGAACAGTGATCATACAAGATGTTCCCGAAAAGGTGACCGTGTCCTGCCCCATCGATGGCATCTGTAATGAACATCTGCAACGGTTGTCACT